GTGTGGGACATTCCAAACTCAGTGACAATATCAAGTGTGGGACATGCTCTCTTTGCCCTCACTCTGAGCTCCTCAGGACAGGTTTCTACTGCAGTCCAAATCTCTCCAAGCACCACCATAATCTTCCTTCCAGAGAAACGCTTCAGCCTTGTGTCTATAGACACAAATTGAAATTTATTTTGGCAAATATCTGCAGGAGACCCTGGTGCAGCTAAATAATTGTATTAGCCGAGGTTTAATCTCCTGCTATGGTCTCACTTCCATTTCAGTGCAGTCAGATAATAACAGTAATAACAATTTAGCAGCAATTTCTTAATTTCCACTGAGTCCAGCCACTGTGTGAATTTCATGGGATAAAGCTGACACTTCCAGCATGTCTGTGGAGAAGAGGGAATAAACTTTTCTTCCCCCTGCTCTACACCAAACTGGCTTGCTTGGCCCTAAGGTGTCCTAGGTAGAGTTCAAAGCTGCACCACAATGCCCAATTCTGTGAATTCTGTGCCCCAAGGACCTGGCTCAGCTCCAGGCTGAGTCTCAGGACTCCAGCAGCTTCAGGAAAAATCCTCTGAGTGCCTCTGAAGCTTAACTAACCACTGGATCTGTCACCTGAAGAAAAGACACCACAAAAGGAGAACCCCCAATTCTCTCTGCTGGTCTCATGGCAGGAAATTGTTCTATTGCACCTTGGGAAGAGCAGCATTTCTTGGTATTGCCAATCCGCAGCTGTCCCTTGGACAGCCCCTCTCTCCCACCTTCTTTCCCCTCCCAAGGCCCCATTTTCCTTCCCTGCCTGAGGTGTTTTTGTGTCCCCACAGGCCTGCAGGTTGTCCTCAAGTCCATCATGAAGGCCATGGTGCCCTTGCTGCAGATTGGGCTGCTCCTCTTCTTCGCCATTGTGATGTTTGCCATCATCGGGCTGGAGTTTTACATGGGCAAGTTCCATAAAACCTGCTTTTCCAACGAGACAGGTGAGCTCTGGCCTTAGGGACCTCCTCTCCTGCTTCTGTGCTGCTTTTCCTTTTGTCTCTTCCACATTCCCTGCATTCTCTCCCTCTTTACTCACATATTCTGAGAATTACACAGAATTTTGCGCCCACCCTGCACAGACTGGGACACATTCTCCTCTCTCTGATGCCACCGTGCTGCTCCCAGTCTGCCCAAGAGTGAGGTGAAAGTTCTTAGGGCCTCCTGTCCCAAAAGAATTTTTTCATAGCAGAAGCACAGAACCAAATTCCTGGTGTTTCTTATTAATTAATTGTGTCTGTCTAATTTCCCTTGGGTTTTGCTTTATGCCCACTGAGTTTCCTGGGGAGGTTTCTGGGGAAACTTTGGTGTGGAATAGTAAAAGATTGAAAAGTCAGGAAGCAACCAAAAAATAAAAGGGCAATAGATGGGAGGAAAGGAGTCCTTTGATGGAGAAAGGATAAAAATGACCTTCAGAGAAGGGAAATTGGGCACTGAAGAGTAAATGATGTGTCTGCCTGTGAGTGAGTGATAGACCCTAGAAGATGGAGGTGGACAAGGATGATCCCAGAGATTCTTGGCTGGGAGCAGCTGAGTCAAATCATGGAATGCTTTGGGCTGGGAAGGACCTTAAAGATCATCTCATTCCTTTATAGCAGTGCTAATATATGTTTATTATCTGATAACACACATTAAAATGTTGTTCTTGTCTCCAAACCATTGCATTTTAAGGTGCAATCGACTTTCTTTAAAACACAGCCTTGTATTTTCAGTCATTATCACTAATAGGTCTTAATATTGATTTATTTCCATGCAATCCAATGGTAATAAAACAACAGCCCTGCCAAATCTCTGGGCATCCCTCACGGTGCTTCCTGATGGGAACAGTTTAATACACTCAGTGTACACAGAGATTTGCAAAGGGAGCTCTTGCTCGTGTTCCTGTGGAATGCTGGAATAACATAACACAGGTTGCGAAGGAGAGTTGGGACTTGTGATTTGTGAAAAAATCCTGGCAATTCCTGGAGGAAAGGAGGTTTTGGGCTGTGTGAAAAATGCCAATCACTTGGTTTTAAAAAATTTTAAAAGTTTAATAATAATAAAATGGTTATAAAAATAATAGAGTAATAAAGTTTAGAGTTAGGACAATTACAAGACAATAAAAAGCAAAGAATTACGGATGTCCGGATGCTCTCAGACACTAAGTCACGAAAAGCATGACTTGTGAATAAAGGAATCACCCTTAAACCAATGCACTTGTTGCATATTCATACATGTTTTATGGTTCTGCATACATTCTATTCTAAACAAGAAACTCTGTCTGTTGTATGTCAAGTGTTTCCTTTAATCCCCTGGCATCTTCGAGTCTGAGCAAGGCCTGAAGAAATTAGCTTCTTTTGATAAGAAGCCATAAATTCCTCTCCTTGGGAAGATTTAGACGTTCCTTGAAGCGAGCATCTCATTCCTAAATAAAAACAAAACTTCCCCCACATACATAATCTCTATTTTAACATTATGTTGTAACCTAAAACTACACTTGACACAATACGTAAGAGAATTAATACAGCATAACTTTCTAACATTACACATATAATATTCATTGTAACATTTGCGAAAAGCCAATCAAAATTTGCATTTTTCACAGGCTGGATTTGTAGGAGGAGAGAGTCTCTCTGTGGGTGGGGTGGGCTGTGGCAGTGCTGACCGGGGACAGGGACAGCAGTCACAGGATGGGAGTGGAAGGAGCAGCAGAGTCCGTGCTGAGGTGGTGGGGAGGATGAAATCCTGAGCAGGCTGGGGTTTGCCAGGAGCATTTTTGGGTCTGTCAGACTGCAAACAAGGCAGGGGATGTTTGTGCATCCCTTGTGAGCAGGAGCAGCTGCAGGCAGAGCCCGAGGGTCTGCCTCAGGCTGACACCTGATGAGGGGGGATCTTCTTCCCTCCCCAGAACAGAGCAGAAGGACAGCATCACCCCCAGGGCTGTGTGCCTCCCTGCACCTCATCTCTGCCCTCGGTGGTGCCCCAGAGATTCTGGGCCAGGTTTGACACCGAGGACAGGTTTTTGTCATGGGTAATGTCATGTGCAAGCTCCTCTTGCTGGCGGGGTGCATTCCAGCTGGGACTGGGAGCATATCCAAAGCTCTGCATTTCAGCTCTGCTGTTTGAACTGTATTTCAGCTCTGCTGCCTGAGCTGCATTTCTGCTCTGCTGCCCAGGCTGCATTTCAGCAGCTTCCACCTCGTTGTGAGCTGTGGCTTGTCGTAGTTGAGGTGGTCACAATACAAAGCAACACTCCATTTTCAGAAGGCTTCAAACGGTTTTTATTATGCCATGCATGCTTTTTATACATTCTTACAAATTCAGAAGTTTATGCTTTACTCATTGGTCATGAGAGACAAACCAAGTGCTCATTGGAACAGGCAGTTGCAGGTTTATCTTATTTATCTTTCTTGGTTTCTATGTCAATGGCCTTGGTAGAAAATTCTTCCAGGGGTGAACATGGAGCTTCATCAAACTTCTCTCTGGCTCACAGAAGTCTCTGTAAAACCTCTTGCACAGTGGCTCAGCTCTCAGAGCCCCTCAGCAGGCAGGGAAGGTGCTGTGGTGTGGGAATCCAGGGTTTCCCTCTGTCCATGGAAAAGAGTTTTCAATCTTACAGGATCAATTACAAGCTCTCAGTGTTTGATATAAGGAATAATTAAGTGTGGTATGGGTGCAAAAGTAAAATTTTAGGATTCTAGATGAGGGGTCCAAAGGGGACAAGATGGAGGAAATTGGGTGTGCCTTGTCCTTTTTCTCCTTCTTCATGCCCTCCATGTCTCACTGTGGTGTTGGCATTTTTCTGTTGGTTCAGGCTGGGGACACACTGTCCAACGTAGGTGACAGATATTGGCACGTTCTTGTAAATCCAGCCCAGGGAGTTTCTGGTATTTAATGTTTGTCACATCCCACTGAGGGCAGAGCCCCACACGCTGCCCTGCAGGACAGAGCTGGGCAGGGCAGCAGAACATGTGAGAGATAAACAGAATAAACAACCTGGAAACCAGCACAGACCAATTATGGCTTCTGCTTTGGCAGCAGGGCTGACAGACAGAGACATTTTACAATCTCAGAATCATCAATAGCACAGATTCTGACACCCTGGGGCTGCTGAGCTGGCTTTGGGTGGGTTCTGAGCATCCATTCCAGCTGCCGGGCTGGAAATGGGGAAATGGAGTTTCTGGAAAGCAAAATGGGGTGAGGTTTCCTGGCACTGCATCCCCTGGGAGCAGAGCAGAGGAGCAACCCACAAAGCTTTTGAAAACCTAAGTGCTCCTCATCTCCACCGAGGTGCATTAAGGAGCCCGGGCAGAGACCACGGGCTCCAAACCGGCCTGAGGGTGGAAATGTGAGCTCATTAAAGAGATGCTGCTGCTAGGGGGTGGGAAATGGGGGCAGGGAAAGCTGCTCGTGCTTCTTTCTGTTCCAATTCCCCAAAGTGAGCAAACCCCTGGGATTATTCCTGGAATCAGGAGCCAGAGGAAGCAACTGTGCATCATGAGGGGACCAAGCAGAGGTGTCAACACCGAGTGTTGCTCTGCTGAGCCAATAGCCTTGGTAGGTCAGTGATGAGCTGCAGCACAAAGGGGTGCTGGGCACCAAAATATGGCCAAAGGGTGACTCAAGGCCTTTCCCCCTCAGCCTGACTGTTCTGAGCTGGAAACATGCCATTATTGTAATGAAAAATGGGTAAAATTCAGAGGCAGGGCATGCTTCAGTCTTGTTTTCCTCTCCCTGCACGGTCCTTGCTGTCCTGTTCTTCTGACACAGAATTATTTTTAAGCACCTGACTCACTCCAAATGCCCCAAAGCTGCTCTAGGAGAGAAGGGCACCATATTTATTTCCCATTTTTATTGAGATTTCTCCTTTCTCTGTCTTCTCCAGCCACGAGGAGTAAGGACCAGTTCTGGTCATTGCTTTAAAAAGGAAAAAATCCCCCACCCACCCTTTGTGGTAGATGTGTGCTGCATTTTCAGAGAATTCCCTGGCAGCAAAAGGCCAAAGCGAGATGAAACTGGATCCTCTTTTAATGCACACTCACAAACGGTCAGCAGGAGCCAGCTTTGGCATTTTCTTCTCTCACCAAGCCCTTGTGAGAGCCTGTGGTGACCCATCTGGGAGCTGGAGGTGTGCCCTGTGCCGAGGTGTTGCGTCAACAGGAAAGTGTCATATATATATTTATACATATCTACACACACTTATATCCTGCTCCACACTGACAGTTTTGCTTTCCTCCTGCAGGCTTTGCTCTGTGGAATAATTATTACTAATTTTTGTTAGTGCTGCTCCTGCTTTTCCCCCGGTGAATTGGATTTTGTGCCGTTCGCTGCTCCATTATCATAACGTGTCCCTTTAAAAACCCTTTAATGCTCCCCCAACCCCAGCTCTCTAAACAGGGATATTGCTTGGGATATTTGCTTACTCTGAACACCCAGCACTGGGGTTTTCCAGCCTGCAGCACTTCCCAGCTGAGCCTGGAAGGTGCTGGGATGGTCCTGGCCATTGCTGGTGGTCCTTCCCAGTCAGATTTATCCACCTTGGCCTCCTCTGGGCCTGCAGTGAAACTCAGCAGAGAAGCACCATCCCACATGGATCCTTTCCCTCTGTTTGGAGCAAAAATGTGGAGCTTATGGAGGAGCTGGAGTCCTTCAGTGCTGCCTTGGGGTGACACCAGGAGCTCCTCATGCAGCTGTGCTCGAACATCTGTACCAGGCTGATTTTGGGCAGTCCACATCCCCAAATTGGCATTAGTGCAGAAGGTGCCTTTTGCTTCAATGTTATAAAGTGATATTCAGCACTTTGAGGGTGTTTTGAAATGTGTGCCATTCCCAAAGCCCTGCTTTTATCACACTGTTTGTTTTATTTTTCATGGTGCTGTTTTATTTTGGGGTTTAGTGTTTTGGTTTT